CACGAAGGAAAGGACTAGGAATTTTTTCAAAGGTGATATTTGGGATCACCTCTTCAAGGGCTATCGACTGATGTATGCTTCATACAGATATATCATCTGCTGAAACTTTGAATTACCCGCGCCTTACTCATTTAAGCTTTTATATTGCATCATTCAATCGCGAAGTTTCTACTTTCAATAGAAATAAAAAAGAAGAATAAGATGTTTCTGCAGGCAAAACGTTTTGGGAGATATACAACAATCGTACAAAAACGCTATAAAATAACTGTAAAAAACATGATTCAACAGGATATGGTTTTTCCATTGCGCTCAATACATTTATAAATCTTTTCGGACATCCAAAACACTAGCTTTTACCGAGTTCTAAAACTCTGAGACAGTAATAAAAGCTAAGCATTAGTTTTGTGTTTAAATCTAAAAATTCGTTGGATTGCTCTAAAAGCAGATGATTACAGATTAAAAGGTATGCGCCATCTACTGGTATACTCAAAAACGGTTTCACAAGACTTCCGGAATCGCTAGTTTTCTGAAAACTCTGGATTTCCCGAAACCCAGTTTTCACCCATTTGTCACCTTATTCAGGTTGAAATATCCAGAGAAAATAAAAGATATGATGCAATTCAAAACAGCTGCATTATTAATCATGTTTTTGAACTAGAAGTCATTGCGCTTATAAGATTTAGTATAAAGGTTTACACAACATGCAGAATTTAAGGAATGATTAGAGCAACGAAGTGCACTAGTGCCATTCTCTGATGTGGTTTACCCTTTTTTTAATGTTTTCGGCTCATGTATAGCTGTTTAGTGTATATCAGTACAAGAACTTTCACTTTAAGCTAAAGAATGTTCAGATATAGCACAAAAGTTTTTTCCAAGCGGTTCCAACCTTTATACTAAATCTTATAAGCGCAATGACTTCTAGTTCAAAAACATGATTAATAATGCAGCTGTTTTGAATTGCATCATATCTTTTATTTTCTCTGGATATTTCGACCTGAATAAGGTGACAAATGGGTGAAAACTGGGTTTCGGGAAAGCCAGAGTTTTCAGAAAACTAGCGATTCCGGAAGTCTTGTGAAACCGTTTTTGAGTATACCAGTAGATGGCGCATACCTTTTAATCTGTAATCATCTGCTTTAGAGCAATCCCAGTTGTTTATACACGAAAATGAACAGAGAAGGTTTTATCTCGTTGCATTCAAAATCCACGGCTTTTTGAAAATTCAGGACACAAAGAAGTGGTAGTTTGCAAACTTGCTTTTATGTATGCTTAACCGTGCACCACCACCACAGCCACCGATACCACCAAGTACATATACATTCAGTCGTTTCCAACCATTTATTGACAATTGTCAGTGTTGTCACGTTGACACTAAACCACCACCTACCACCCACGTACATATTCCTTCACCTTCAGTTACATTCGACCAGGAGCCACAACAGATCCGAACACGAACATTCACTTCCAACACACATCCGCAACATGATTGGGAGCAACAGAAACGTATGTTTCTACCGCAGCGAACACAACCGTGGGAGCAAGCATACCAGCATCAACCTCAACGTAGAAAACCGGTAGTTCGGTACGATTTTCTCATGTATAGAGGTAAGCATACTTGCGGACTTGTTCTTTCGTTTAGAGAATTTTAACTTGATAATTAGGGATCAAGACAAAAATCAAGAAATACGCAATACCCTTTTCCGTGTTGCTCAAGTTCAGATCACTGAACATCTATGATAAATTGTTAAGATGACATGAAATTATTCAAAACCCACCTAAAAAGCTAATCAAACACATATTATCACCCCACAAGTCATAATCAAAAATGTCGTTTTCTTCCTCTTGTCACTTTTCGGGTTTTGTTATTAATTAACAAGTTGTGATGAATTGAACTAATGTATGGAGTGTGAGGAATTAGAGAAATCATAAAAAATAGAAGACGAATCATCTATCAGTGTGAATAATACGACGTTCAATTTATTCAAAAACATAAAAAGAAGACTTCTGTTTAGCAGACACATGAAAATATCATGTTTGATTATTTAACCAATTGTTATACTAATCTTTTATGTATATTTATAGAACATTAGCTGAATATTTATATCAAAGAGCAACGACTTAGAATTAAACCATCCAATGATTTTTGCAGCAGTTTTAGTTTTAACACCATTTTATTTGAAAATTTCGACCTTTTTACACGAGCATTTTCAACAATTGCCCGAATGAAAAACGAGAAAAACCGACACGGCGAAAAACTGTACGACGAATTTTTAGATTTAAACACAAAACTAATGCTGAGTTTTCTATTCCATCACATTTCTCGATGTGTAACTTTAAAAAATTCTTGTATTTTTTTCTCGTTTCTCACCCAGTTAATTGCTGAAAATATCCAAATATCCAAATAAAATGATGTTAAAACTAAAAACTGCTGCAAAAATCATCATATAACATTAGTTGATTATTGACTATTTGATATGCAGATTTCTTTCAGATGGAAGCATCATCGAGAAATATGTCATCGCTGTTTTTACTATTATTAAGGAATCTGACGATTGATAATGACTCGGAATCGTACCAACGCCTTATCAAATTTTATCAGATCTCTGATAATATTTATTTTTATGTTAATCCTTGTCTGATTCTAATAGGTACACGATTAATGTTATGGGAAAATGTTTTTGGGACGCAGGAAAACACCAATGTAATGGGCAAAGGATGTCCGACTTTTTCCTTCCCTCTCTGCTTGTCCGAATTATTAAATCCTCAAGCGACATCGTTTGAAAAACTGCGCCAAATCCATGCAACCGATAAATGGACACAAAACCGAATACATGATTTTTCAGGTACAGCCAGCATCTCCTCACATGAAGCTTAAATTAGGCGTAAAGACCGACCGGTTAGCACCATATCCAACAGTCAGGGACACCTTCCGAAATACCAGATGTCAGGAGCTTAAGCTCAAATTTTTGTACAGTTTGCCATAATTTTCATTTGTTTTACGCAAAAAGCTTTTTTGCTCATATTTACCAGCATTTTCTGTGCCTGTTTGCCATTAATTTCCATTTACCCGATACCTTTGCAGGTAGCGAATTTCATATACGTTTTATCAAATTTTCAAGAAAAGTCACGATTTTACATTATTTTGAATCCTAAGTATTCAAATCGTTGTGAAAAAAATTTATGTGCTCAAACAGCCTGATCAATTCTTTAGTGGGGAAAGAAATCAGACCTACTCAGCAGCCAAAAGTGAATTCTAAAACTTCTAAGGTAGCCTATCCTGTAGTCCCTGAAATTCTCTATCGGATGGTTATTACTTGGAATTTTTAGTTAGGTCGTTATTTTCAAATGAGGCTTCAGGCTAGTAGAGTAGGCTAAATTAACTTTAATTAGTCAATAACAGGAGTGTAAGAACAAAAATATTTATGTATTTTCTCGTAATAAATATTCTCCACACACTTCTCTATCGATCTAAACAAGAGCCAAGTTTTTATGATGAATGGAGGATATTTTACGATAATAGGAAATTTTTTAATAATGGACTCGTGCATAAAAATTTAACAACATTATTTTTAGTAATTAATTTTTTTCTCAGCGAAATGATGTAAGTAAGCTCAGAAAGTTTTGCTTCAAAATGCTTGCTTCGAGCAAAATTAGCCGTAAGACTTTTTCCAAAATACTTTTAGCTCTAAAATGTCCTCGGGAAGGTCAAAGTTAAATTTCTGCGTCAAACTTTATTCGGAAACGATGAAACGTTTTTCTTCTTATACAAGTTAATGTTCTGTACTAAACAACGCTGGAACTAACCCTTCATATCCAAAAGTGAAGTTTTTATTGAAATTTAAAAATGAGCAAAAAGCCCGAGAAAAACTTAAAAATAGTTTTTATCGAAAACTACAAATCCGGGAACCGAAAGCGTTGTTGAGACATATACTCCGAAGTGTCGTCTACAAACTGGTAAAAAAATCGGATGGGGGGGGATGGATTGCCCCTTACGTCCCAAGATTTAGCCTAAAATGCTTAGTGTACTAGACCAACGTATTATCAATTGCAGGTATTCCAACGCATTGCCTCAGTTTAATCTCATTTATGAATAAGCGTATGTGTCGTTTTCCTGTTAGTATATTTATGGTCTCTCTATCGTTAGTAAACATCATCATACTGGGTGGTCCAGTTATAATGCAATGGTTAAACCATCGATTATTAATTGGCTTTGTGGTAACGGATAGGCGTTTTGTATGTGGTCTACATGTTTACATCGATATTGTTGGCTCATCTATTAATTCATGGCTGATATTAGTTATAGCAGTTGAACATTATCTATCAGTAGTAAAACCCTTGTTAATACGCAAACGCTTTAAGCGTGAACATGCTTATATCATTATTTTCATAATTGTACTTCTAGCTGCACTTGTACCCATCATCTTTCTTATAATTGGCTATCATATACCAAAATGTTTATTAGTCTATCCTCGAACCTATCAAATAATTGGCTCGATTGAAATATGTATTGTTTATGTAATACCATCAATGTTGATTTTTATATTCAGTGTAATTACTATCCATAAATTACGTTATCGTTTAAAAAATCATTTAGGAAGACGAATTCGTATAAGTATTCTATTAATAATAGTATCGTTATCATTTACGGCCTTTACGCTGCCATTTCAAATTCATTGGTTTATCTCAATTGTACAAAGATCCATGCGAACAAATTTTCGTTTAAATCTTTTTAATATCTCATTTCGATATTTAACGTTAACAATACGAAATTGAAATTATACATTTAACTTTAACTTAAATTTATATCTATTCTTTAATGATGATGTGTCCAAGATTAGCAGAAGAAACAAGAAAATTATGAAAACCACAGCAGAAAATGAGTACGGAAAAGTGGGGAAGCTAGAACAGTTCAGCAAGAGAAACGTTCAGCTAAACGTCTAGGACCCGAGTTTCATTAGATTTGAACAAATCTTTCTCGAGCTACGTAAAGTTGAATTTTACGTTTTGTTTTTCATGCATAGTACTACTATCCTTTCAAAAAAAGAATGGCCATAGTAAGCCATCCGAAGCAAACTGTTCGTAGACCGAATTTGCTCCACATTTTTCAAAATCAAAAGACGGAACAAAAACATATTTCAAAATGTTCTGGAAATGCCGATACCGAATGAAGCGCATTGAAGCAGCAGGGTCGGACATTTCGTTTCGAAAGGTACATCGAGGGACTGAATTTTTCCATAGAATTATAGCCCCAACTGTTCTCTATCAAATACGAGAATCGCAAGTCTATGTCTCCTTCCCATCGAATGCTATGCAAAAAACATCCGAGTGCACTGCTTTTTCACGCCGATAGTAGTTCAATGCAAAATTCTACCATTAGTGAAATGAAACATGTTTTTTATTCATTTTGTTCGTTCATTTAACCATATAACAAAGAATATATTACTGTATGTTGCTCTAAAAGGTTAGTTAGTTTCAGACAACTATGTGTTTTAACCTTTTTTCTCAGTACAGAGCATCTAAAAAACCACTTGTTCGTTTTTGTAATTGTATGTCTATTCCTCTAGCATTCACCTTTTGCTCCAATTCATTTTATAATAGATATATAGATATCGAAACAATCTGCTTCGATCTATCAGAGTATATTTGCCATTATTTTAATAATAAACAACCGCACTTTCGACTTTTCGCGAAATGTCCGCTTGGATGCTCACGGTGCTACGTTATATAAATGTCCTTGTTGATTGACACTTTATTGGATAAGAATGAAATAAAAATTGGAATAAATGTGGATATCAAATCTTTCCACCGTTTGCTATTACAATAATTGTTATTAGAAGTTGTATTTAATCATAATTGTTGTAAATTTTTTAACTTTTTAAATAAAAATTCTATTTGATTAAAATGCATATAGTTACATTATAATAATTATTGTATTAGTAATGACAAAACAGGAAAAGTATAAATAAATAAAGTAAATATAAGGGTCTCCACCTATTAATTCAATATTTAAATATTTTAGCATGGGCTTTGATTTAACTATTATTAGATCTTTAGAACCACGAATACTGATCGATAAAGATTAGAAATTAGAAATTGTTGTTGACGATACTTTGTATTGTATTCTTCGATAATTAAGATCTATTTTAATGGTATATTATTTGGTATTAATATCTGATAAAGTTTTTTATATGTGTGAAAATTTGCTGATGTTGAACTTATTCATTTTTGAAGATTGAAGGCTGATTTGGCTTGTTTTAAACAGTATTCTATTAATTCATATGAATCACTACTATCTAGTGAAAATGAATAAACATTTATAAAATAACTGAATGATTGAAATTGTGAGAGAAATAATTGCATTTGTCCTAGTGTAAAACAATAGTCATTTGATAACTGTAATGATTGAATATATTTAAGATTTTTTGTTAGTATGTAAAATCATATTTTGATTGATTAATTTTGGAAAAATTGAGATGATAAATATATTGATTTTGTATCATTGAATCGAAACGGGTGTTAAGACCAGTACATGTACATAAAATATTAGCATCATCTAAATAGTCAAATATATCTAGTAATCATTCGTTTGGCAACGTTTTAAAACAAGTAATCTGCATCTTAATGTTAGTCGTAAAAAAATTCTTATCTAAAACTTGAAATTGTACTCGTCCTCCTTTCCTCCTCATTCTTTCTAAATAAAAGTTTCCCTCCTTTTCCCTCCTTCTGCCCATTTTCTCCTCTTTTTTGGACAAAGTTGACTAGTTTTCCAATAGCGTTTGTAAAACTTTTGTTTCGTTCAAAATCTCGAATTCTCTTTTATACAATTACAAACGAACGACATCGAGAACAACATTCATGACATAGAAACATATACATCGTTTGTCTATGTTGATGATGAGACGGCAACGTTGTTCTATGTCTCTTAAACGTTCCTGTTGTGTGTCTCTCTCGTAGATTTTCTTTTCTCCGTCGTATGATCGCTGGTTTTGAAAATCCAAGAAACAGGCATGGATATTCATCGAGTACGGTGAGCGTCAAGTTGGTTCTTTTAGCGATATAGTTCGTATTCTTGAACAAACAAACCCAATACCACCTGACGACATTGTGTCTATTTGTCGTTTTTTCGATAACACATACATACCGAATGGAGCGGTAGACAAATTATGTCAGACTGGCCGTCAACTACTCGTGCCAGACACATCATGTGGAAAACGTTCATCCTGATACATCGTCCTTGTAAAATTTGTGCAAAATTATTGGTTCTATGGAAATTGGGCAATTAGAATTTGGGCACCAGAATTTTGACATTGTCCAAATTCCATTATAATTTCGAAAAATTTCAAAACAACAATGGAATTTGGACAATACGGCGAATTTCCAAAGTT